ATAAAGAATAAATGAAAAATCTCTACAAAAGACCAATACACTACACAAACTGAAACGTATTGACATGTTGGTTATATACATAAAGAAGGTTTCAAATGTATTCATTATTGTATGAACATGTTTTAATTGGCGGGTGGACGTCACATCCTCTAGGGGGGTCCGGGGGTATGCCCCCCTGAAAGTTTTGTTTTAACATTATAAAGTAAAATGCTTCAATCAGGTGCACTTTGAGCAGAATGACTAGAGACTAGATCTAGGGGGTACAACTCTAAAACACCCATATGAAAAAGATTGGTTTACATTGTAATAATTAAATAAGTATGTGAACATAACCAATAACCTACCATAGCCAATAACAAATACATGTAACATATTTTATTTTTGTTGTTCATTCATATCTTATTTTACCCAGTTAACATTTATTTATTCATGCATATTTTTTAATATCTCCAGTTTTAAACGATATTAGATTCCCAGTCGATCGCGAGATGTGTCTAAAAATAGAACAACAATATTCTGTTTTATCGTTAAATTAATGTCCTGTAACATAATCTTCCTGTGCCAGAATAATGCACTTGATCGCATCAAAGCTTTGTGATTGGCCGGCGTGACCCCATGTGTGGCTGGCCGGCGTGGCTGGTGAGCAGTGGGCAGTGTGCACTAGTTCGCTAACGTTGTTCGTGTCAACAGGAGTGACAGTCCGCACACACACAAGACCGCAATTATGGCAGAAGCAAAACATATATAATTCTCACTCCGAGTGGGAGGATGATTATTTTTGTATCTATTCCAATTCAAAGTCCATCTGTCTCATCTGCAATGCGAGCGTGGCTTTATCGAAGAAGGGTAATTTAGGAGCGGCATTTCAAAACAGTGCACAAACGCTACGAGACGGAATTCCCTCCTAATTCTGCCCTACGCTCCCAAAAGGGGAGGGGCCTGAAATGACAGCTAAATGCACAGCAGTCCATTTTCACCAGGCCCAACAACAAGAGCAAGGCTGCTACCATAGGCATAGCATCTTAACGTGTCAGTCACGTTCTTGCGTAACACATGAAGTCTTTCAAAGACGGCAAAGTTGTGAAAGAAGCATTCATGGAGGCTGCCGATGAGCTTTTTGGGGACTGTAAAAATAACAGTAGCATTTCAACAGGTTTTTGATATAATAAAAACTCAAGTTAGATACCGTTATTAATCTGCTGTAAGTTTTAGTTTGTTTGAACTTATTCATTATAATTATTGTACAAAACTTAAATTGATTATAGTCTATTATCAATTCAGGTTAAGAAACTAGTGTTGCTTGCATCCTATTTTAAAAAGGCATTTATTTTTATACTCTACTAAAATGCAACAAAAAAAGGATTTGATTCTATTAATTTTGTCTTATTTATTGCACTTTGGCAGCAGATTCCTGTGTAGCTTCAGATCTGAGTTGTCTTATTAGGAAGCCTCATTTATACTTTTGTAGCAACACTATTTTTATATAATGGCAAAGAAAGGGTTCAGAGTCTTTTCTTTTTTCCCTGTGTCATATGTGGCAGCACTGTTCAATGCTTCTTGAAAACATTGCCCACTGTAGTGACGTGTGAATAAACTCCAACTCTGTATCAACAACACTGTTGTGTAACTTCAGTTAAATACTTGTATGTGTGTAGATTAGAAAGAGGTAAGATAAAGGATCTGCAGTATTTTATGAAGTATTAATCGTACAAAGGTCAGTTTTATACAAGTAGAAGTGTGTATTTACCTGGTAGTAGGCTGTCAGTAATGGCTACGCCTCTCTATTTGGACTGGTAGATCTCGGCAGACTGGCAACTTTAAAAGTAGCTCTCGGTTCAAAAAAGGTTGGGCACCCCTGGACTATAGTATACATTGGAATGATTTCAAACCTGTTTTTATTTATCCTAATAATTATAAAGGTGTGCCTTTATAAATTGTGATCAAACCGTTTGAGACCCACTGAGATAACTTAGACTAAAGCGAACTATCTAAACACTCAGTCCTTTACCTCGATGCATGCGCGCTCTCTCTCTCTTGCTCTTTTCTGTATGTGGCCCTCGGTTTGGACACCCCTGATTTACACCATTCAGCTCTGAAGCTCTGCTCACACCTCTTCATGTTACCTTTTAGCTTAGCACAGTGAGGGGGGGGGGGGGGGCTGCTTCATTAAGCCTTTCCCTCTCTCTCTCTCTTTTTCTCTCTCACTCTCTCTTTCTGTCTCTCCACCTCTCCCCCCCCCCCCCCCCAGCGGCCCCTCCTCACGCACTAGCAGGACTCTCCCTCCGCTCTCTGTTTTCTCTCCCTCCCCTCTCTAACTTTGTTTCGTCCCTAAAACAAACTTCATCTCATCGTACTGATCTTCTCCAGAAGCTCCGCCGTGTTCCGGGCAGACATGGTCGCGGTGAGGCCGGGCTCCGGGTTCCTGAGCACCGCCTGTGACAGGTAAGCTTAGCGGGCTTTCCGTCACTTTTTTCGGACTCGACGCGAACAAGGCTCCCTGTGTGCAGAGCGGAGGATTACTGAGCTGTCTGCGGTTAAATTCACTTCACTGTTTCACTCCACCACCCGCAGTCATATGAAGTAATCTTTAACTACTCTTTATAATGTATCTGACAAACCGGATGAAGGGAGAGTGTGCATAAAGTGTGTAAAAGGTGAAGCAGGGTCTCAGTGCCATGAAGGCATCCTCTCCGTGGAGGAGGAGGCTTTCTGTGGGAACAATCCTAACAATACCAGAGGTGGAAGAGGTATTCACATTCTTAACTTGAGTAAAAGTAACAGTACCAGAGTTTAGGATTGGTATATTAATAATAAAAGTCCTGCATTCAATGTGTTACTCAAGTAAAAGTAGAAAGTATTAGCATCAAAATATAGTTAAAGTACCAAAGTAAAAGTAGTCATTGTGCAGATTGGTCCATTTCAGAAAGAAGCACTCATTACAGCAATATTGCTGCCACTTAATTTATTGTGAACCCACTGGTGGTTTTAGTTACTTCAATATAATGTTGCATGGTTTCAGATACTGAATAATCATATTTAGTACTACATTTGCTTCCAAAATGTAGTGGAGTAGAAGTATACAGTAATATAAAATGAAAATACTTGGATAAAGTACAAGTACCTCAAATGTGTACTTAAGTACAGTACTTGAGTAAATGTACTTAGTTACTTTCCTCCACTTTATAAAGTAATCTTCAGCTACTTTTTGTAAATGTATGTGACAGACTGGGTGAAGGGAGAGTCAGCATAGAGTGAAGGTGAAGCAGGGTCTCTATGTCGGTGACAGTTCATACATTAATCTGTCATAATTGAATTGCTCTGCATTTTTACGAGTGGTGGTGGAAAGGCCTGAGGCAGGGACTCATCGTGAGTCTCACCATGTCCTTAAGATACGTAGACAGTAGCCAACATCACAGCCGAATCAGAACTCAGTCCAATAACACGAGCGAACGCAGCACACATTGAGTACTATTATGTAATAATAATATTAATAATAATAATAATTCACTAAGAGTGATGTCTCACTTCCTGTACCATCTGGGTATGTTTGTTTTTACAATGAAACATCAGACTGATGTACTTGTACTTTAATGTGATTGATTGTATGCAAAACATTTTTTAATTAATTCTGAACCAAGAAAGGTATGATTATTTAATACCTGACACATTCCCATACTCTTTTAATACTTCTACAATGAGGTTTGACACTCTTCCCTATAAAAAGCCTTCTTCATCACGTCTTTAGTACTGTAGTCCTTGCATTGTGGGGGAACATGTTCAGCTTCATTTGAAAAGGAACATCAATTTAGGGCTGCAACTAAGATGAATTATATTATCCACTTCTACTCTTGATGCTATATAATACACACTTAGAGTATATGCTACAGTAGTTAAGAAAATAATCGTTAAATAAGGACCTACGATTTAGTGTAAAACAAAGCATGTTAGTGTGAGATGGATAAGATTCAGACTGACAGGCTTTCTCAGTAAAAATAGATCCTCCTGACACAGGCGCAGCTTTAGGGTGATCAATGAGTCCAGAGCTGTCCACCATCCTCATGTTCCCCACAGAGGCATGTAGAGGTCAAATGTCAAAAATGGACTTCAGGAGCCAGAGTTTCATGTACCAAACCTGAGCATGCTCTGTTTATCAAACACAGCTCAGCGTTACAGTGGACCTCAGTCTAGACGCTGTTGAAATCACTACCAAAGGGTTTCCAGCAGGCCTTACCCAACACCTCCACTCGGGTCATGGAATGTTCTCTCAGGCTCAGAGCAGAGGCGCTGTGTGTGTGTGTGTAGTGTGTGTGTGTGTGTGTGTGTGTGTGTGTGTGTGTGTGTGTGTGTGTGTGTGTGTGTGTGTGTGTGTGTGAGCACCATCCTGCATCTGCAGTGAAGAAACTGAAACGTTGACTTCAATGAAATGTATTATGTCAACAGATTTCACATAAGTGTATTAGGGTTAGTTGAAAGTAATACAGTGAGTTGAACCTAATCTTTTTTTATCTAAACTTAATATTGTTGCTTTCAACTAACCTAACACTCAGTTACTCAGAAATGTAGCTGTATTATGAAACGGCCAGCGTCTGACAGAAACACCATGGAATACATCTTAGGAAGTGACTGTGAAGTAACACAGAGAGCAAGGGGGGGGGGGGGGGGGGCACACTCAGATCCGGATGCTCCATGGATTCAGTGAGTGAGGATCTGATGGCAGAAGGGTATTCATATATTTTGAGGGTGTACAAAGAAATTAGAATTTGCATGAAACAAAAGCTAACAGCCACAACGCCTCGTACATTATGGGACAGTAGTTGCTAACAGTGCTTTGAATAGAGGTCCACTTACTATGGAAAGTCTGCATCATCAGGCCGCAGCTGTATCTCATTATTCATGGAATGCAGGGCTTTAGTAAGAAAAGGCTGTGCAGAATATGGGCTGGCTTTCTCAAATCCTTCTCCCCCCCACTCTCCCCTCTCAGCTGAGCTCCTTCGGCGATGCCACAGTCCCCTCTGAGACGATGAGAACACACACCCGCGGGGCCCCCACAGTCTTCTTCATAAGTCTGCTGTGGCCCCTGCTCGCCGTGCTGGACGTGGGGGCGGCGGCGGAAGTGGACCCCAGCGAAGGAATCCCCTTCATGGGGGGGAACTACAATGGTCACCCCATGCTGTACTTCAACCGGGGGGAGGTGGAGGAGCTGCAGTACGCGGCGGGGGGGACTCACAGCGACATGGCGAGGAGGATCCGTGAGGCGGGGGAGACCATGCTGGAGCGCCCGGAGCTGTACCTGCCCCCCTGGAGCCCCGCCGAGTTCAGCGCCCGCTGGAACGAGCTGTACGGGAACAACCTGGGGGTGCTGTCCATGTTCTGCCTGCTCTACCCCCACCGGGCGGGGGCCCTCGACCTCGCCAAGGACTACATGGAGAGGATGGCGGCTCAGCCTAGTTGGTAGATTTTTTGTCTTTTTATCATCATCTCTTGTACTTCAGATTCGAGGCCTTTTGCAAACATATGTATACATCTGACCCCCCCCCCCCCCTTAGTTGACTTATACTAATTAATGATATATTATGTCAACAGATTTCACATAACTGTATTAGGTTAATTGAAAGCAATACTATTTGGTTCAAGTAAAACACATTAGGTTCAACTTAATATCATTGCTTTCAACTAACCTAATACAGTTATGTGAAATTTGATGACATAATACATTTAATTGAAGTCAACGTTTCAATGTTTTCAGACTTCTAGATGGTTCCTGCCCCCCCCCCCCCCCCCCCCATTTGTGGTTTTTAATGCTCGACCCTCCCCCTCAGAGGCTTTCTCTTCATCTCTTGTGTTCTCATGTTCCTCTGTGGGCAGAGCTCTGGTAAAGATGCATTGTGGTCTGATAAGTCTGTGCTTCAGGAAATATGTTTAGCAGCTGTTTGCTGAACATGAAATGTTCAGATGTGAGCTGAATAGCGCTCTGCAGGGCCGCCTGACACTGAGCTCAGGTCCAGGCGACGCCTCTAACTGTTTAAAATATATGGGAAACCTGCTGCTCAGATCCCTTTCTCAAAATGTCAAAGCATATCTAGATATTTATAGAGGCATTAAGCCAGTATAAGACTCATTCATTTAAAAGAAAATAAGCAAAGACCGGACCTTTGTTCAAACTGGCCCCTCTGATTCGTGGTTCCCAGTTTCTCCCTCCTGATGATGAGGAGTAACGGCACGTAGTAGCTGGTGTGATTGAAAATGAGCCCCCTAAGCATGGTGTTATCTGTTGAGTGGGAGCGTTGAATAGGGCTTCCCATACATCCTCTGCTGTCCTGCTGGTGTTAGCATAGACTCTATAGTTCCTACTGACATTGAACTAACCACAGACACCCGTCTGCTTCATGGAATCACACAGCGCTCTGCTACAGTTGACGGAGGGCTGCCTACAATTCACATAGGCTTCAGGAAAATGGAAAAAGGAAAATTCTAGAATGGATAATTTCTTTGACTTAATTCAGTATTTAAAATAAGAACATTTATTGACACATGTGCCATATGATATAATGTTTAATAGTCTCTGGCGGTTAGACCCCGATCAGCCGTTAGTATATAGACTCCCGGGTCTGGACACTGGTGGTGATGTGGATTGGGTTAATGGATTGATGAGGAGGTGTGATGAAGAGGAGGTGTGATGAAGAGGAGGTGTGATGAGGTCTTTGGATCAGCTCTCCTGGGCTCTGGATATGATGACAGGGGGTGGATGGGGGGGAGGCGGGCGGCAGGAGAACCATTCTAAAGTTTGACTGCAACACGATGATTGGCTGCTGTGGTGAAATGTAATTGGTTAAAAGAGGACGCCCATGATGAGCTGGGGGATGCAGCTGAGGAGAGAATGAAGGTATGCAGAGAGGAGCCACTGAGCTGTGGTCTCACGTCTGCAGAGCACTGAGAGTTCTCTCCTCTTTCATTCTGGTCCCTGAGCCTCTGAAGGCTCTGTGGTTCCATGACCTTCAATTATCACTCCCACAACTTCAGGAACCGTGTTCTGATGGGGAACTTCTACTTAGTGGCATACTGGTGCATGCTCCTTTCTACACACTGTGCACACATACAGAAGTGAGCTTTGCTTTGTCATCATTTTAGAACTGACACCATTACTAATATAGAAGTCACCCAGTTAGTGTTCCTTTGCATAAGCAGACAGGAAGTGGATTTTGATAGCCCTCAGCTGAAACTGCCACTCTTTATTACTGCTTTATTTACACACACTTTAGAAGTACATAGTCTGTGGGTTTTAAATATACAGAATATGATCAAAAAGGATACTGTATGGTGGATGGATATACAGGGAAACTGAAACTGGACATAATTCACAAATGGTGTCCCAACTTGTGCTTCTGACGTACATAAAGAGGAAATCATAAACTAATTGATGTTACAATAAACATCTAATGAACAGCTTTGAAAGAAAGCGTGAGGGAACAGAGGCTGACGGGATCCTTTGAAACACAGCAGTTTGTTTCATCACTACATCTGAAGTGAGCAGAATGCTTCCAGAACACCTTCACTCACTCTTTAACACTTTGCTGCTCCTCTAAACTCCAGAAGTCAGCGTTCTTAGACCCCGCCGCCTGTAAGCCTCTTTATTGGAACCAAAGTGTGCAGCACTTGTGGTAAAATGCCACTAAGCATCTTTATTTTTGCTTTCAAGGTGGAAAGATGTTTTACAGCTGTGGTAAGGATCATTAAAAGGCTTTTTAATGAAATGCCTCGTTGCTCATGATAAGCATTTTCCAGAAGTGCATTTAAAGAGCGAACATTTCACACCTGATTACCCTCGATGTTAGTTTCCGATGCCTGGCCTTGAGCCTGCTGTTGGTTTGTTTTGCAGGTTGGTGAAAGACGCCCCCTGGGACGAGGTTCCTTTGGCGCACTCTTTGGTGGGGTTCGCCACTGCCTACGACTTCCTGTACGAGTTCCTGAACAAGGGCCAGCAGGAGCGCTTCCTGCAGGTGATCGGCAACGCGTCGCGCCTCATGTACGAGAAGTCGTACGTCCGCGGGTGGGGCTTCCAGTACCTGCACAACCACCAGCCCACCAACTGTGTGGCGCTGCTCACAGGGAGCCTGGTCTACATGACCCAAGGTCAGTGTCTGCCATCATATGTTGCTGTTTCCGGCAGGGTGAAGACACGAGGCAGAGATATTCAGATTCCCTTAACGCCAGGGGTGGAAAGGTTGCTTAAAAAATGTCATCCGTTACAATAACTAATGTGATGTGATGTCATCTAATTACCCCACTATTAAAGTGGTAATTACAAATGATCCTGATTACTTACTGTTACTTTTGGATGTCAAATATTTAAATAAAGACAATAGAAAATAAATATCAATAGGATTGCTTTAACTTATTGTATTCTGAGAACAGAAAAGAGAAGAAAGCACAATGTAACATTAGAAAAGAAGAAACCAAGATCTTCTGAATCAGTGATTTTTAAATGCAGGCAGTACGCCTAACTATTCCAAGTGTTTGACTCCAATACTGAATGTGATGATGATGAAGTAAAAAAGCAAGCAATGTTCCATCCACTACTTTACTAACTCATATTGTAGGAGCCCTTTTGTGTTGTTGGCATGTCCGCTGACATGTATTCAGTGACTTCAGGAGCCTGCTTAACGCCTTTAACCCGAACCGGTCTCTGATATGATGGGAGCAGATGCTCTACATGGAGCTTTAGTGTTAGGAAGCTGCCTCCCTCAGCATTAAGGAGCCGCAACTCAACGGAAGGGATCTCATGAGTCTGCTTTGTACTCTCAGGTTCTCACATGGTGTAAAGCAGAGCATCTAACTCAGTTCAGTTCAGGGGCCACATACAGCCAAATCACAGTGGGCCTAACCAGCCAACTCGCAGTGGGCCTAACCAGCCAAATCACAGTGGGCCTAACCAGCCAAATCACAGTGGGCCTAACCAGCCAACTCACAGTGGGCCTAACCAGCCAACTCACAGTGGGCCTAACCAGCCAACTCACAGTGGGCCTAACCAGCCAACTCACAGTGGGCCTAACCAGCCAAACCACAGTGGGCCTAACCAGCCAACTCACAGTGGGCCTAACCAGCCAACTCACAGTGGGCCTAACCAGCCAACTCACAGTGGGCCTAACCAGCCAAACCACAGTGGGCCTAACCAGCCAACTCACAGTGGGCCTAACCAGCCAACTCACAGTGGGCCTAACCAGCCAACTCACAGTGGGCCTAACCAGCCAAACCACAGTGGGCCTAACCAGCCAAATCACAGTGGGCCTAACCAGCCAAATCACAGTGGGCCTAACCAGCCAAATCACAGTGGGCCTAACCAGCCAAATCACAGTGGGCCTAACCAGCCAAATCACAGCACAACAACCTATAAATATCCACAACTCCAAATTGTTCCCTTTGTTTTATTGGAAAAAGAACATTCTGAAAATGTTCACATTTAATGAACTATCTATAAAGTATATATTCATAACCATACACAGAATAGGTGCAAGTTGAACAAGTGTATGCCTCAGTTTATCCTTTACACGTGTGCATTACATCTCACAGACAGTGTATATCTACAAAAGCACACAATGTCTTCTCTGTCATCCCACGGGCCATATGTTTGACAACCCTCTGCTATTTAGTGTTTGTATTATCTTATTAATAACGTGTGCATATTTGTCTCAGTTTATCTGCTGTTGTAATCACTTACATTTCCCCGCTGCGCGACAGATAAAGGATTTCTGATAGTTTGATATAGGCTGAGAGGAAACACATATTCACATCTACCGTACATCCAGGATGCTGATTCCAAACCCTTCTTAGGGACTGTGTTGGCAGATAGAGCGGCTGGATCGGAGCACAGCAGGGAGTCTGGCAGAGAGCCAGCGCGTTGGCCCCGCAGCTCTCTGGGTTTCACAGTTAGGGCAGTAGGGCTGCAACCAACCAAGTTTCATTAAGTGATTGCACTCCTTTCACCGTGTTTGTTCAAATGTTTGCTTCCGTTTTGCAGATGTGTTACTAGATGAAAAAAGTCAACGTAGCTTTTTATCAAGCTTATCGGCAGATTATGCAATGGTTGTTATACTCAGTGACAGAGTGCCATTTGGTCTTCACACTCAAAACACACACACACATATAAAAACATAGTGTTTCATATAAATATCATGTTCTTCATCTGCTTGGTGAGGATTGCCAGTTTGCTTTGAGAGGGTGAGTACAGTCCGCCTGAGGGTCATTGCAGCTCTTAATCCTTTGGGATTGTTCTCAGGATGAGTTTCTACACAAACTAAAGTACAATTTTAAGATACTTGTACTTTACTTGAGTATTTCCATTTGATGTTACTTTGTACTTCTACTCCACTACAGTTCAGAGGTACATGGTGTACTTTGACTCCACTACATGTATGTAATCCCTTTAGTTACTTCACAGATGTGGATGAATGATGTGAAATCTAATCAAGTGTTGAATCAGACTTTAGTTCCACCTGGAGTAAATCCACCAGCTACCCTGCAGTATACAAAGTCATTCAAACTAGCTGCACCTTTACCAGCTTTGAGAACACTTTCATGATCAATCATTATAAAACATATCATATATATTATTCTGAGATGGACCAATCTGCACGACTACTTTTACTGAGTACATTTTGAATGCAGGACTTTTACTTGAAACAGAATAGTCCTACACAAAGTACTTCTACTTTTACTTCCTTTAGTACTTATGAGTACTTTTCCACTCTGGCCTTGGTACACCCCAGTCCTAAATGACCGCCGGCAGAGTTTTATTTGAGGCTTTTCCTTAGGGTAACAACAGAACACTCAGGAGTCATAGTCTGACCTCTTTTTGCTTCATTCCATTTTTTTGTGGAGCGCAGGAAAAGGTGAGTGTGCTCCAGTGTGACCTGAGGAGGGGGGGGGGGGGCACAGCCACTGCTCTGTTTATAACTGCCTTCATTTGGTAACAGTGTTCTTCACAGCATGTGACGGTGATAATGTCATGGAAGCAGGGCTGAGAAAAGCTTTTTGAAAGGCTGCTGACACATGGTGTACTAGCATTAAAGCAAACATGAAGCTACTCCTCTCTCTCACGGTAACACTGCAGAAGCCTCACTGCATTCCTTCAGAGGATATGTATCATTCATTTCCTGTGCCAAGGGATGACATTACGTCCAAATATTATTCTGGCTGTGAATAAATGGACCGGTTCCAACAAGCACGACCAGAGAATAAGAACAAACATGCTCTCTTCTTCTTCATTGCTTATCTGACACCAGCCTTAAGCCCATTGCTGTTTGGACTAGTTATTATTATTTCATTATGTGGGGCCTAAAATATCACACGTTGAACAATGTATGTGCCACTCACTCAAACAGAAGTGTGCACTGACAGACTGTGGCTTAGATCAGCGTATAAAGAACATTCCAGACACAGGTGTTTGCTTGTTGCTGCCTTCAAGCTCAATATTTAACTGGACCCCACTCCCCTTTCCCATGCTGCCCCCCCACAGCCAGGTGGGACAGTCCATGCTGTGGGCTCGGGGCATATTAGGAACGAGCTGGGCGTAAAAGTGAACATAGCAAATGTATCATTAGATTTGGGGTAAGACTACATCTGAATAATAAAATGTATCATATATCTTCAGACAGTGATACATATAGCAGTGCTATTAGTTTAGCTACATTTGCTTTAGTCCTATTGTGAACCCAGGCTCTCAGCAGCAGAACCTCCCCTCGGCCACTGATTACGCAAGCTAGCCACATTATTAGAGTGTGGGAAAACAGAGTGAATGAGTTACTGTACTCTTGCGCGAGACGTTAGTCTGCTTTAGTTTTCATTTTCATTACGTGATGTGATGATTCTCGTTTTTTATTCTTCTTTTTCCGTTGAAGTCTTTATTATTCCAGTAATAGCTGTGGTGTCATTGTGTGGTCAGCACTGTCAGCATTACTTGGAATGTTTCTGTTTCCGATCTTGTTGTTTCAATTCATCGTACCTCCCTTTCTTTGATCAGTCACTAGGCTTGTTTGAGACGAGCTGCAGCTCGCCTTGAAAGTAGACGAGAATAGTCTTTTGCAGCCAGGGGAGGTCTCAAAAAGCTCGCCTGAAGTCGGACAGCTCGGAGTCGGCTTGACTCGGTTTGCATTTATAAAGAATGCACAAATGTGTTTAATCGTTAATGTCAGATATGTACTAAGTAAACATTTGTTCCTGCTCAAGATTAGATTCAACTTTATTGTTATTGCACATATTACAGGTACTGAGACAACGACATGCAGTTTAGCTTCTAACCAGGAGTGCAACAAGCAGTAAAGTGAAAAGTAATGTACACAATCTACAGAATAAAATATAGAATGAATTGAATGATGAATAAACAGTGAGGGGTATGAATACACTAGATATACACAGCAGCCTGTGAGCAGTATGAACAGTGTGTATGAATATGCTAAGATATATGAAAACGGTAAGCAGTGCAAGTATAGTATAACATATATAGATATTAATTTCATTATGATAAACATTGTGGAACAATGATGAAAAATGTGAATGGAAGTGGCGACGTAAAACTGACACAAAACAACAACAAACTTTTGCCGAGCCAATTGGAGAGTTTCATCAGCAGCACGGGGTATAAACCTCCAATGAGCGCTCAGCTCGAGATACCAGCGAGTCGTTTCCCATCAAGCATTTCGCTTCCGCAGCCCGTGGAGAGCAACTGCGCCGCCTCGCCGCGCCTCGCTCTCAAGGCTGCGGGCGTCTTTGTCCCGCGAGATTTCAACGTCTCATGCAGTCGAGCCTCCAGAGCAAGGTTGCGGTTGAATAGTCCATTTAGCTTAGGAACCTTCCTAACGGAGTGAAATGACCCGGAAGTCCCTCAGTGGCAGCCATGATAAATGCCGTTCGAATTCTCTAGATGAAAGGAAAGGAGGTTTCAAACTTCCTTTATAACCTCCTTTAGCTTAGGAACCACTGGACCTCCCTTTACGAAAGGAGAGGAGAACATGCTGCCCCACAATGCATTGCAGCCGCAGCATTTGCCGTCACACAACAGTCGGCCGTTCACGGAAACAACCGATTATGACGGAGAAATTATATCATGAAAGTTACGGTGCTTATTAAGCATTTTA